TAAATGCATGCGCACTGGGTGCAGTGATTGCTGGATCTGCGCGCACAGATCAGGCGCCGGCTGAAGCAGGATCCGGAGTTGATCGCGAAACTCCCCAAAAACGTCTCCCACCGCCAGCAGGCAAACAAGAACAGTGGTGAAGGCAGGCAAGGCGAAGGTGTCTGTCCTGACTGTCTCACCCGACTTTAGGAAGGCGTGGAAATTGGAGTCGTCGAAGTTATCGTTAGGGCAGGGCATTTGGAAGAAGGAGTGTACCACGATGGCGCAGCCTTGGCCTTCGGAGAGCAGAGTTTTGAACCAGTCTGGGGGGAGGTGGCAAAACGGTCCGAAATAGACTAATGATTGTGAGGTATTACGTGTTCTGCTAAACGCATCCAGGAAATAGGAGTAGCAGCTGAGCAACGAAAAAGAGCTGAATATGCCTCTTGGATTTTTCCCGATAACGGGATTTAATACATGTATATGCAGAATGTAATTACCGGCAAAGACGACTGGACTGGAATGATCATTTTTGGCTCATTAGCCATCGTCAGCCAGTCATACCCAATGCCGAATGCTGCCCCACCCGAGGTTCGAATCCACGACCTCGATTGGCAGAAGTCCAAGGTTCGAACCACTGCGCCACTAGCACGTTGTTTTTCCGGTTTCAATGGGGAATACGCACAGGGGCAGATAGTCGCCCACCAATCTGTCAGAAGACTCACTCGTTCCGTTGCGTCTTTGAGCGCAATTGAAATAAGGCCTAATGTCCTAGAAAATGAGCACGAAATCGACCATTTTCATGCATTGTTTCAACCAGGTATGTGGTAGCGATTTCTTCTACGTACCGTGCGATGGGCCGGAAACGGGGCGCGAATGTAACCTTGCGGCCGCTAACATAATCGTCGACGTTGGAAACCAGACGAGATGAAAATTGATTGAAGCCTGATCCTAAATGAGGGAAACCCGATAAATCAATCTTTGATGTTCGACTCCTGGACGAGTTCGAATCAAGTTGTTCCAGCATTCCATGAGTCTTAATCTTTTTTCAGAATTTGCTTTACAGAATTAAGAGGTTCTTGGTGTGAGAAGTTGTGTAAGCCGTACATGGAGAATACCAGGTCAGCTGAACCACGGCTGTTGGAAAAATGTTTACAAATTGTGAGGGCTTTTTAAACAGAGTCACTATTTTTTCTATTGTCCATGCACATCTTGATTTCTTATATACAAATCAGTTGGCCTATCGCGTACGGTAAAAAACTGATTGTTAACCCTCATTGTTTATTTGAACTACGACAGTGGGGTCAGTAGCATACGATGCTAGCGCCATTTTAAAGGAAGTCTTTTTGTTAAATTAACTTTGTGACGCATTCAAGAACGATTCGTCATGATGTTGGCAATTAATTTTTTTGACCTCCTAGTGTTGTGGCTTGCGTGCCTAATTTTAATAACGGTGAATGGGGGGCTTTTTGCTAAAAATTATGGAATGATACTTTCAAAATAAAGTGTATCACTCTTGCTACTAACTAGGTAAGTATTAACATCAGAATTGGATACTGACGAAGACAAGAAAGACGGAGATGGCTAATCTGGCTTTTGAGTCAGTCCTAACCAATTGTAAGTCTACACGATCTGGGATTCGAACCTTGACTACCTTGGCCATTGAACGTTTTTAATCCGAACTAAGGCGGGCTCGGTTTGCAGCCCGCTGTAACCGAGATTAATAGCAATAGTAGAAGTTGATTTTTAAAATCAAATTCCTCTAAACCATACCATAAAGGAGACGATCTCTCATGTGACCCGCGTGAACTGTTTCCAGTTTATCATTTTTGTTTGTGCCGAGAGAGGTCGCCAGCAGTCTTTGTACCCCAAAAATTGCGTTTGCGGGTGAAGTATGCCACTTAGACAGGCTGCCTGTTGGGCAGCCAAAAGTATCCAGCTGAAGCGTAAAAGTGGCTGGCACGGCTGAGGT